TAATTATATAGCCACATATTAATCCCAAATAGGTAAAAGCTGGATTTTTCGTTAATTTTGGAATCCTGTCCAATTAAGAAATTAATTGGACAGGTTTTCAATTGGGTTTTTGTTAAAAGCTGTGGTTGGCTTTTACCTATTTGGGATCAATATGTGGCTATATAATTAATAGGTAATAAGACTCCATGCTGTCCAATTAAGAAATAATGAGACTCGAAAAATTCCTCTGACTGCCAAATTGGACTCGGCCACGGCCTCGTCCAATTTTTGGCAGTCCTCGGAATTTTCCTCGTCCAATTATTTCTTAATTGGACAGCATGGAGTCCTATTACATATAAAAATTGCTAGTCTTATCAAAAAACTAAAATTCTTGAAATTTATACAGAATAAAATATGAATACCAAATAGTATTCTGGCTGTTTTTTGTGTCTATACGTCAACGAAAAGATATCTTTTTGAACCGATTAATTTCGCGTTTTCTGATCTGCCATTAATTGAGAGCGTGCCGTCCAACTCATTACATATTCATAGGAAGTGACGTCAGAGGCAGACGGGATTGTTGCTGTCTTTTAGCATCAAAACTCAGATGGAAACAGAGCTTTTATAGATCAAACTTTGTTAACTTTTAGTATTTACGGTTATTTCAACGATATGGGATACAGAAAACCTGTTTTTGAGGCATGTTATTTTGGTAAGACTAGCACTTTAATCCTTCATTGGAGTAAAGGGGATTAACGTCCGAAATGACAGAAAGCTGTTTCACCTCCTTTTTTTACTGTCTTAAATATTTATCTCTTTACACAACTGTTTCTTTAGAAACATTGACACAGCTCTCACACTGGTTTACCACTAGTTTCTGCCATTTCATAATATTAAAAAGTTGTATGTTGAAGCTAACCATGTCACCTCATGGTTTCCACAAACTGTTTGAAGTGATTTTCATGATTCATAGTAGAAAACAATGGAAAAAAAATAAATGAAAGCTAACAAGAGAAAATGAAAGCTAACAACAGAAGTTCTGTATCAATAGACTGTAGAGCAAAGAAAGCAGGTTTTGAAAAGTTGGTGATTATTTTATTACAGTGCAAATCGAAAAACTGTGTCTGCCTAGAAATATTTCAGGAATGCTTATTGTTCATTGACCAATCACGAGTGAGATCAACCATCATCAAGTAAATTTTCACGTGCAAATTTAATCAAAACTTCAACGTTACAAATAAATAAAACTAGTTCATCACTAAAAAGCGGTCTGTAAAAGCTCACAAATAGTCAAATTTCATTATTTTGAACAAACAATGTTTTCTTGTTTGTCAGCTTAAGTCATTGTTCAAACACACATTCCTGAAATATTTCTAGACGGTCACGATTCGATTCGCACTGTAATATATAAAATGCTCCTTTTTAACCAAATTTCAGCCTTGGTGTTTTCTTTTATAACTGGCATGTTCTTAGTGTATGTGCAGGATTTTAACTGAGTGTACTGTCAACTAGCCTCCTTTAGCAGCCGCCCCTGTGTCGTCACGCAACGCTTCTCCCACGGGGGAGGGGCGGCTGCTAAAGGAGGCTAACTGTCAACCTCCCTGACAGTAAATTTTTGCATTTTAAGCATTTGCATGAAAATTGAACTAATTCACAATGATGTTTAAAGGGACACTGTCAATGGCACGCATGCGCGAGTAAACTTGAAAACACTAGGCTAGAGTTTTCAAGTTTATGACTCCAAGTTGGCGCAACATAAATCAGCTCGTAAACGTAAACAGATCTAGAATATTCCAAAGTGTGTCAAAAGCACCACAAAATGATTTTCCTCAAAGGTAATACTTTCAAAGTCTGTTAGAGGTGAGACTGTTACTGCGCATGTCATGTATTGACAGTGTCCCTTTAACGCTACCTTGTTTAGTTGTTCGTAATGGCACAGATATCCTTACTGGCTCATTAACACAGGAAACCCAAATCCCTATTGCTCATATGTCTACAAATAATAGCACTTCATTTTTTATAGTGCCCAGTCTCCTTATCCTATACCCACCTCAAGACCATAGTGCAATGCAGACGTTGCTGGAGATAACTGCATCGTGCCATATGGTACTACTTTAGGTGCAGCCCATCCTCCTGTCGCCGTCCACTCAATCATCAATGCATGGTCACTAAACTCCTTGCCAAAGACAAGTGTATTGTTGTCTGGTTTGGGTTTTGGTTTAGAATTTTTTTCTATAATGAGTTGATTCGCCTGAAAAAGAAGATGGTTACTGTGGTTATCAAATTCATAAATAATTCATAAAGTAAACACAATGGAAAATCATTGCCGTGACCGCATCTTTATATGAGCAAGAGATTTGTCCTGATTTGCATACTGTACGACTTAACTTCTCTAATGATATTTTATCCTTTTTCTCGAAATATGCTTTACCTTGTGTTGGAATTTGATAAACAATATAAAATATTTGCGCCGACCTTTATGGGCTATAAAACTGCTCGCTCGCAGCTCGCAGTTTTAAATGCCCATAAAGGTCTTCTGCTCATATTTTATATTAATTATTAATTACTTATTAAAACATTGGCCACTAGAATTACGAATTTCATTCACAAGTTGACAAATTAAAACTGTGGAAGACCTGCAGAGTTTTTTACGAAATTCATATGTTAATCATTTAAAATTTTTAAAATAACCGATTAGAAATCTCTTGAAATATCACCCCCAAAGACACACACAAAAAAATTAATTATCCTAGATGCACATTATCATTCTAATAAAGCAGTTTTGACAAATAAAATACTAGTAACCTCAAAACCCTGAACCTGTTCCAGGGTGAAATCGCTGAACACTATACCCTGTTCCAGAGTAAAATCCAACACTAGCCTGGGGGTAGCCTGAATTTTTACCCCGTGAATTTTTACCCAGCATCAATAATTCTGGAATTAAACCCTGACCCTATGCCAGGGAAAAATTGTTGAAATCGATACCCTTTTCCAGAGTAAAATTGCTAAAAATGATACGCTGTTCCAGAGTAGAATCGTTGAAAACGAT